AAGAAAAAGGGGCAAAAGATTTCCATTGAGAAGATGAATTTAGATAAAACTCAAATCTGTTGCAGCAGAAAAGAGTAAAGTAGTGGAGAAAGCCAGCCCTAATTGACCCCACCCCTCCCTCCCCCCCACCCCCCTCCCCCAAATGAAAATATGTGTGTAGAATTGTAGAGGTTTGAGGGGACTCTCTGCAATTTCCCAAATCAAAGAGGTCCTAAGCTCTCACTTCCTGATTTTGTTTTTATTTCTGAAAAAAAAATAAAAAAAAATTGTAGTTTTGTTAAGACTGTCTGTGTTAAGTTAAAATTAGATAATAGATGGGCTTGTGTTGACCCAGTAGGGACCAGAGGTGGTCTGTTTTTGTACTGGTCCCATAATGTAGAAGTCCTTAGTTATAATTCTTTTGAGTTTTGTATGGAAGTCATGTTTAAGTTTAAAGGGGGGGCTACTGTCCAGTGGGCAGTCTTTCTGTATGCAAGTACAGATCCCACTTTCAGACAACTTCAATGGGGCTTTTTGTTGAGGCATAAATCTGGCTGGGGAAATCATTGGATCTTGGGGGGAGATTTTAATGATCTCCTATCTAATGAGGAGAAATGTGGAAGAATCTGTAGGTCTGAGTTTAGCTTTTCTGGTTTTAGAAATTTTGTTTATGGGTTATGAGGGGTGCAACCTAATACCATAGGTCACCCCTTCACCTGGGCTAACAATAGACATGGTAACAACTTTGTAGAAGAAAAGCTAGATAGATTTTTTGTGTCTCCTATGTGGTCTAACCAGTCACCAAATGCTTCTATTAATCACATCTCTCTCTCATCTTCTGATAACAAAATGATTATGTTGGTTCAAAGCCCTAAAGCTGCAGGGGGTAAGAAAAGATTCTCCCTAGATTCTAGTGGTTATCAATAGAGGGCTATCATCAAGTAGTGGAACAGGCTTGGCAAACACCTGTGGAGGGACCTGCATTATTCAGTTTACAGAGCAGAATCAAGAATGTCAGATTAGCTTTGCTGAGTTGGAAATCTACCTTGAGGACTAATTCAGCAAAGCTGTCAGTGAATGTAAATAAAATTTGGGAGTGCTTGAATCACATGGTGGCTTTAGGGATTGGGACAGCTGGGGGGAATATAAGAGGGTGTTGAATCAAGCTTACAAAGATGATGAGACCTACTGGATGCACAAGTATAGGGTACAATGGTTGAAAGCTGGTGACAAAAATACTAGGTTCTTCCAAGCTACAGTTAAACCTAGAAGAAATATTAATAGCTTGGAAAACCTAGTCAAAAGTGATGGGCACAGATATGAGTCTGATTTGGAAATTTGAAGTGAAGTTCAAGCCTATTTTTGATCATCTGTTCACTACCTCAGAACCACAGGTAGAGAGACGTAATTTAGAGGGCATCCCGGTTTCAATCACTCAAGAAATGAATGACCAATTAATCAGTGAGGTGACAGAAGAGGAAATAAAGGCTGCTGTGATGGATATGGATCCCAACAAGGCACCTGGAATAGATGGTATGCCTCCCTTGTTCTTTCAATCCTCTTGGAATTATGTGAAAGAGGATGTTTGTCTTGCCATCCAAAATTTCTTTATTTCTGGCAAACTCCCTAAAGCCACTAATCACACAGTCATAACCTTAATCCCAAAAAAAAAAAAAAATGCCACTTCTTTGACTATTTTAGACCTATAAGCCTTTACACTGTAACCTATAAATCATTGCTAAAACCATTGTTAATAGATTGAAACCTGTGTTAAATTGTTGCATTTCACCCACTCAAACTGCTTTTGTGCCTAATAGACAAATCATGGATAATGTGATTATGGCCCCTGAATGCATACATTTCCTTAATAGCAAAAGAAAAGGCAAAACTAGTTTTATGGCTGTTAAACTAGACATGTCCAAAGCTTATGATAGAGTTGAGTGGTCCTTTCCGGCTAAAGTGTGCAAAAAAATGGGTTTCTGTGATAAATTTCTTGCTTGGGTGATGACTTGTGTGTGCAGCTTCTCCTTTTCCTTTAATATCCATGGCCAGGTCATAGGTTCAGTGATTCCTTCTAGAGGACTTAGACAGGGGGACCCTTTGTCCCCCTATCTTTTCATCTTCTTATCTGAAGCCTTGTCCAAAATGATTAATCAATCCTGTTTAAGGGGAGATTTTAAGGGTCTTAGAGTGAGTAAGCACAGTCCTACCCTTAGCCATTTGTTCTTTGCAGATGATGTGATCTTATTTGGCCAAGCTTCTGTAAACCAAACTACTTGTCTTAAGAAAATTCTCTCTGATTATGAGTTAGCCTCAGGTCAAAAAATGAACTTGCAAAAGTCTGCTGTGTTTTTCTCAAAAAATTCAGATCTTGTTTGTGCTGCTGACATTTGTTCTATCTTAGGCAATTTGGTTTGTGTCTCTTCCTGTAAACACCTGGGACTTCCTTTGGGATTGGGAAAATCAAAAGGAGAGACTTTCAAATTTGTGAGTGAAAAAGTGACTCAAAAAATCCTTAACTGGGAAAATTCTTTCTTGAGTGAGGCAGGGAGAGAAGTCCTTATTAAGACAGTTCTGAGTGCTCTACCATCTTATGTCATGGCTTGTTACAAAATCCCTATTTATGTGTGCAAGGATATTACCAGGATTATGGCTTCTTTCTGGTGGGGTAGAAGTGAGAGGGGAGGGGACAAAATTCATTGGGCCTCTTGGGACAAATTAGCAAAGGGTAGGGAGCTGGGGGGTGTGGGTTTGAGAGACATGAGAGCTATCAATGAAGCTCTCACTGTGAAACAATTGTGGAGGTTGATCACTCAACCAAATCTGTTGGTGAGTAAATTTATCAAGGGTAGGCATTTTTTCAGGAACAACTTGTTTGAAGTCACAAAAAAAAAAAAAACATTGACTCTTGGCTATGGAGGGGTTGGTTAGATGCTAGGGGGAGCTTACTGAGAGGTCTGAGATATCAAATAGGGGATGTGGCTTCTATTGATATTTGGAATTCCCCATGGGTTCCAAATATACCAAGTTTCAAACCCTCTTGTCATTTTGAAGGAGACATTGAGAGAGTGCATAAAGTGAGAGATTTGATGATAGATGGAGGTAAGAAATGGGACAGAGACTTAATTGAACAAATTTTCAGCCCTTTTGAGGCTGAAGCAATCCTGAAAATTCAAACCAGTCACTTACAGGCAAAAGATAGATTAATTTGTGTGGCACTTTGGATCCAGGGGAGCTTTTACTGTGAAATCTGCATACAATAGCATTCTCAACCACATAACAGATGAACAACAAGCTTCCACTTGCTGCAGAAAACAATTGGAGAAAAAGCTATGGCTCAGGACATGGAGAGCCCTTGTAGAAGTAAAAAAGAAAAATTGGAGAGCTATTCTTTGCCAACTCCAAGATAATGAAGTGGTGTTGCAACTGCAATCAGTCAAAGAGACAGAAAGCACAAAAGGCCATGTTCTTTGTCAAAAAAACATGCTTATACATTTAACACACATGTGCAATCAGTCAATTCATTTTTTTTTCGAAACGATAGAAATTTCATAAAACCAAAAACACGTAATTACAGCTAGCAAAAAAGTAGAATAGCCAAATAACCACACAACTGAATCCAGGAGGCCTACACGAATGTAACCTAGAGCACCTACACTAACGCACTCACAATACAACAAACTATACAGCTCCCAACAAACTATACAGCTTATACAGTTATACTTGAAACATGTTAGTCTTTGTGTTTTCACTCTGCATGAGAACGAAACATGTAATAAAAGGTCAAACAAAAGGTCAAACAAAGGAAGCTCAGACGATAATGTTATAGAAGCCCTTGTACAGATGCAGGGTTCTTTTGAATTCTATAATTTTATGCTTCTAGAGTAATTGTTTTTTTTTTTTTCAGACCTTGTTAGGTTGTTGAGGGTGATCGAGTGCGGTTTGTCCGTGTTTATTTCCTTTCTAGCTGGATAGAATGATAAACATGTTTTCAGTTGAAATTCATGTAGACATTGCTTGAGTTTAATCTAATGTTTTTTAGTTTGAAAAAAAAAAAAAAGATGAATTTAGACAAGAAAAAAAAAATTAAGGAATTGAGTGTTAGTTATGTGTATTTATATCTACTTAAACCTATACTAAAGTTGTGATAACGACTTTACTCAACTTTGACTATAATAATAAAAGGAAAAAGAGTTTTATATTCTAATATAGAATGTGATATATAGCTAGCCCATGTTGGATATAAGTAATTAATGATCACATTCTTGAGTTATGGTTCACTTGCGACTATACTTACATATCCCATATCACTTTTACTATTATAGAAGGTAGAGGTGGCCAACTGTCGGGCCGCGCCCCGACCCGGACCATCCCGTCAAGTCAGCGGACCTCAAAATCATGGTCCTTGATCGGTCCGAAATAAACTATGGGCCGGTTCATGGACCAGTACGACTCTTATAAAAGAAAAAAAAAATAACACCGTGGTCTGTCGTCCGCCCACGGCGCGGCCCGAACCGGCAAGTCCAAAGAAAAAAATTATGAATCGGGACCGAACCGCGACTCTAAGGATCCGGTTCAACGAACCGGCCCTTAGGAGACCAGTTCGGGCAGGGCCGGAACCGGTTCACGGGCCGATTCGGCCCGTGTACATGTGTAATAGAAGGTTGGTGCTTGTTTTGTCCACAAACAATAAGTTCCTATAAAGTACAATTTCGACTAAAACAAACATTCATTTGATTTCGATCAACAATCCACTTATTTATTAACATGTGGCATACGTTCGTTAAATGTCAATACTTTTAACACTAAATATGCTCTTAGCCATTAATTTTCCGAAAAGAATTTTTTGTCCTCTACTAAAACAAACTTCCAATTAAAGTAGCTTTCATTTTTATTTTCCTTTCTCCTCACCTTATATAATACCTAATGACATTATTACTTATATATATACAACAATGTACAAATTCTAAAAGACAAAAAACTTTCTTATTTTTCAGAAACTAACATCCAAAGAGACATTGATGATGATGAAAAGTGGCGCATGGATTTGTAGGGGATTTGTTTCTGCCTCGAGACCGTCCCACCGAGCTGTAAGTGATAATATAGAAAGATGTTACAGTCCCGTTACGGAATCATCCGTCGAAGATTGTAACTGTTAGATCAACTATCTCTGACGAATACATTATGATCTTACGGTTACAAATCCCGACAGAATGATTCTGTAACAGGACCTTAGCATTTTCCGATAATATATTCACAAATCACAAGTTACATTCTCATGATAGTATTATTTGTAGGTGTTTTTTATATGGAATTTTCAATTGAATTATGATATATGAAATTAATTTAGGAAATATAAAGTAACAATATTTTTGATTTAATTTTTTTAAATAGGTGAAAATTGATAAAGAGACGTGCAGTAAGATAATAGAATCGGCAGAAACTGTGAAAGATGGGACAAAAGAGGTGGTTGGTGAAGTCAAGCGTATGACACGGATCGTTTCAGAAAAGGTCGCCAATGTTGCTGGAAATGTAAGATTTCATTTGATAAATAAAATTTAAATTTATTTACCAAAATAAATTAAAAGGTCGCATGTATTTTATTTATCATTGTCTTGAAAAATAAAAAAAGTCACGGTAATATACGCATAACAATTTGAATCTTGAATAGTATCAAATGAAATCATAAGATCATATTTTAATTCCAACATTTCATTTTCAGTAATAGGGGAATATTAGGAAGGAAATGCAACAACACTTCAATTTTTAATCCATAAGCTCAAAATTTTTCATGAGTTCAAATCTTTAGTTAAAATTCGAAGCTTTCAAGCAACGATTTTTTTTGGCAAACATCATACTTAGTACATTAATTTAATGATAAAAAGGTATACTAATCTTTAGTGGTAGGATAAATGTTGCGCTAAGTTAGATCGTAAAGATCGACCTCTAGTCGTCTGACAAGTAAGACTGTTCGTAGCTAGTTCCAATTTTAGTTGTCAAAGCACAACAAGATAAAACAAAAGCCCTAGATATTCTAAGCACATTTGGGGGGTGATTGGTGAGCTAACTTAATTTAAGAAATTAAAAGTGATTACCTAAGGGTTCGAGCTTTAACTAAAGATTTGAACTTTCACTAGCATGGAGTCTCCAATACTCAAGCAAAACAAAAACAAAGCAAAAAAACATACGAGTACTAAGGCCCTAGGATATTAAAAACGAGTCTTTTGACCTAAATGAGTAATCTTTATAAAGCAAAGTCTCAACCTTTAATACTAGATAAACACAACTCGGAAATTGCCTTAGGCTAACAAGAAAAACAAAAAGATACAAACTTTAACTTCATTCCCTATGCAAGACAACAAATTTACCTCGAAAAACTTTGTAGGTAAAAACAAACCAAAATACGAAGTAATGAATCCTAAAACTAAGTACTCACACTTTTATTGCATGTTCGAATGAAACTGAAGTGAAAAGCTCGAACTTGAATAAAAACGGCAACATCAAAGTCGAGCCTTGGAGCTCCCAAAAGTAACACTACAAAATAGAGATAAAAGAAAATTATAAGAGAAACACTTGAAAAGAAAAATATTAGAATGAAGGTTGTTCTGAAATGTAAATGATTAAATGTATTTATACTCCCCACCAAAACACACACTCATGGTAGGCGATCTTTTTTTTTCTATTTTTCTTATTGAGTATTAGTTTCATTTCCCTTAAAAAACTTAAATAACATTTTTATTTGTATTCCATTTTTGTATATAATTTAGATTAACTTTTATTTGACTATCTCTAAAAGTAATTATTTATTAAAGTATTAGTAAATTTATTTCTTAATATTGCATACATAAAATGAACTTAAATTTATTATTTAATTTCAGTTAACAAATAAAGAATTAGTCTCAAATTATTTATAAAATAAAATATGATTTCATGATAATAAAATATATTTTAAATAAATAATTTCAAAAAAAATACATCACCAATGTGTGCATGCAACATAAGCGGTGGGTAAGGGAGCATTATTGTTATTTCATATCCTTAATTCTAAAGACGAACTTTAAAATGACTGCTATTTTATGATGAGTGAATAAATCATAACTTAAACTATTATATATCATAAAAAAATATAAAAATTTTATATTAATGTTTAAAATCATTTTTAAACTAATCAATATTTTTCATTTGCTATAATTTCTAAAATAAATCATTATTATCTCGTGCATCGCACGGACTATATACTAGTTTATATAAAATTCAATCCTAATAATTTTTGTACAAAAAAAATATTAATTTATATTCAAGTCTGATTTCAAATAACGAGTTTTTGCCACATAAAACTCGAATCTTGAGAGTGTGCCACATAAAACTCCACACATTTGATAATTGTTTTATACATAAGTATTCGACTTTTGATAGAGGAACCGGGTCACCTCTCTCTCTTCTTGGGAAGGTATTGCCATTGCTTTTTCTTCATAATGTACCAAGAAATTTCTCAATATGTAAATGTACCGTTAAAATTAACTGTATTTATTCTTCATAATGTGCAGATGGTCGCGGATGTGGCGGACAAGGGAATCGAGAAGGCGTCTGAAAATGCAGAGACCAAAAAAGGGAAAGATGTTCTTGACACCGCTAAGGCTGTCACGGAAGCTTACAAAGAAAGAATCAAGGATAAATAGACCTTACATTTATGAACTTCCTCAAAAACTGTTCGTATCATTTAATTAATAAATTGTATGCCATGATATATACTTCCATTTTAAGTGAAAAAATTTGTTGTTTGTTTTGAAGGATGGGTTTATATAGTAGTGATGGATGGCTGGTTATTATTAAAACAAGGGTAGTAAAAATAGATCATGTATGCATTTTTTTCAGTAATTGATGGTCCTAGTTTTCCATATATTTTATTTCATTTAATTTCATTGAATATATTACCACCAATGTTGTTTTCTTTGCAATTCGACTTGTGCTTGAGTTGTGTTTGGGATTCGAAGACCTTTAGAACCGTAGTGAATTCAAAGATCAATTAAATTCAGTATTTGGATGTAAAAAAATATGTGGTTCGAATGGGCTGCTCAAACTGCCCGATAGTACAACTCGAGTTGTCTGAACCATGGACGGATTTACCATTGGCCTGGGCTGGGCTGAAGCCCATGCCTGCTAAGTTTTTTTAACAACTATAAAACTTGTAAATATTTTTTATTCTATTGCTAGCCCACCCAATAAACCAATACACAACCCACTAAAATAGCTCATCATAAGCCCAAACACTATTCTCTATTCTCTAATAAATTATTGTATGGGTTGCTCATCTATTCCACTAACCACAAATTACAAACACCACAATACACAAACACAAATAAAAAATTCACCTCGTCCATGCCCCTTTCTAAAGTCTCGACAACAGTTTTAGAACTGAACAACAAATTTAATTATTGTGGCCCCATCAAGTCCCTTGAAGACAATTTAATTTTTTTTAAGGGTAAGTTATATTTTTAAACCCTTTTTGGAACTTAGACATTTGTTCTATTTGTCTAAATGTATTTATTTATCTTTTTTATTTTAGTTGAGCTATTTATGGTTTTAATAGTAATTGCTATTATTATTATTATGTAATTTTTGTTTTGTTGATTGTGTATGGAGTAGTAATTATTATTGCACATTGAGGTGGATTGAGCGGACTAAGCACATTGAGGTGGATTGTCACTTTGTTCGAGATGCTGTTCTTCAGGGCCTCATTTCTACTACTCATGTTCCTTCTGGGGAACAACTCGCTGACATCTTCACCAAGGCACTTGGAAAACGCGAATTTGACTTCTTTCTTGGCAAGTTGGGCATTCGAAATCCGCATGCTCCAACTTGAGGGGGGTGTTATTGTGTATATTTGTGTAATTACTATATTAGCCTTAGGTTCTCTTTAGGTAACCGTAGCCCTAATTTTGTATATATATATTCATGGTTTTGTAATTTTGAA